CTGATGTCAGCACGGATTCGGATTCGCGTCGGAAGCGGAAGGTTTCGCTCGTTTCGCAGATTTCCCATGATCGAAGAAACCAATTTACCTATGAATCGATTCCTCGAAAAAAGTCGATTACGTCGGTACGAGTTTTGGGTGGCGTGCGATCGAATTAGGCTGTTTCACAGTGCAGCAGATTCGATTGATAGTGGGTTGACCCATAAAACATTGAAATCGAAATCGTTACCGCTACTTCACCAATATGAATTAGCCCTTTAACCAAGGTAGGTAGAGTTACCTTTCAGAGGTAACTCGCGCGACCAGCGTGATACTTTCCTATTGGCTGATCGGCCGGATGGAGAACGTAGGTAACAATTCTATCATTCACGAAATCTGACGGCTCTAGAAAAAAGGGCCACAGGGACCCTATTAGGCCTGTGGGTAAGAACGGTGCCCGGGAAACCCGAGAGCAGGTCCAAGTTCTTCTGGAGTTTTGTCCGTAGTTCAAGTGATGGATGGCTGATTGGTAAGAGCTTCTATAGATGAATTTCAGTATACGCCTCCGTTTGGGGTGGATGGTCTGCTTGGTCGTTCTGCAGCAATGGAGTGAGGATTCGAGTTCGAGCCTGTAACACTGTGCGAGGCTTCAGTTGTCTTGGACCAAATCAGGTAATCCACATTATTTCTACTCCAACTTTCTGATACTGCCCTTAGATCTTGCTGATTTTTATATACTTTTTATGGAGTCGATTGAATTTTTTGATGTTCTGAAAATTTCTTTTTGCATCGAGTATAGCATTATTGAGCTTTTCTCCCTTCTATTCTACTTTTTCATTTTGTTTCTTTAGCTGACGACGCGTGGGACCAGGGTCAACCCTACGTTGTTACTAGTAACAACGGGGGGTCGTACCTGGTTGAGTTTGTAGGAGGGGGGGTCGTATAGGTTGGGAGTTGGGAGCGCGCGGGAGAAAAATTCGCCGTTTCAGTGCGTAAAAGCGGGTAAAAGTAAGTAAAAGTAAGAGTAAAATGGTGGAAATTTAGGGAGTTTAGGTGAATTTTTACTGTTTCAGAGTAGCTATATACCCCCCGCTCGACGGCATTTTTGGAGGAAAAAGTGGGCGGAGTTTGGTGGGTTGAGTGGTATCAGAATTAAATACTATAGAGACGATGATGGTGGTCGAGGTGTCGAAAAGGGGGTCGTATCAAATCCACCTTGGGGGGGGGTCGTAAAAATTTTCAAAGTAACAACGATAGGGCCGACCTGCGTGGGACAGGAGGCTAAGTAGAGAGCGCTGCTGTGAACCGCATGGCCCGAGAGCCAAATACCAATCAGTTCTACTGTTCTTGCAGTTTCAGTCATTCACTTGGTGAAATATTAGGTTGTCTTTGTTTCCCCCCCTAAAGGCGCCTTGGTAGTGTCTCTCCAAGCCTACGAAATGATCAGGAATCAAGGAGGTTCTGAAGCGGTATCCAAAAAATGCGCACGAACTTTCGGGACAGTCCAATATATGGTTGAGGGAAAAATCGTTTTATTGGTTGTTTGTAAACATTTTAAATTTAAGGAGCGTCGCATTAAATCTGGTCAGAAGGTCAATTTAGGAAAGAAATGTTTTGGCAATAGAAACTAATTTGAATTTTCACAGTTCAAAGAATGGTTGACAATTTTGTAAACCCTGTTGCTCATTTATTGTTGTTTCCCACGACTGCCTTATGCGTCGTTTCAAATAAATAAATAAATAAGAGAATCAGAGGAATTAACTTCTCTGGGCGACCTGGACCACGCCGTGCACCACACCTTCATTCCAAATCTCTGATGGAGTGGACATACTAGTGGTACAGCGAAGTGACGGCCCATGAGTGGGTATGGTGCTAGCCCTGACAGGGACTCTGCTCTTCAGAAAAAATTGAGTTGAATTTCGGTTAGTCTGCTTGATAGTCACTGGAGCTGGATTTCGAAGGTTATCAAATTCTATTGTGTTTAACGCATCCTCATTGAGGGCCACCAGAATCAAAAAAAAACCAAAAAACAAAAAACAGAAACAAATTTTATAGGTGCCACCATTCTTCATTCCAAATTAAAGGAGGAATTCACGATTAGAATGAAGGTCGAAGAAAGGGAAACTGACCTAGTTGAGGGACCCACGGACCTCCTGAGGGTGCGAACTGACGCGCAATTCGCATGGAAAAATTTGACCTCGGCGACCTATCATGCCTCAAAGCTGGCGGGTCCGGCGATCTCCGCCCACCGATCATCTGATCACTCGCCGTAGTTCAATACGTGGCGAGTGATTAGATAGCTGAGAGAGCGTAGTGTTGAAGAGGGCACAGCGATGAGAGTCGCATCAATGCTCAAATCAACGGGCAAGGAAGGGGTCCCATTTCTCGGGTTCTGGGCCGTTTCTCATGGTTCTTCCTTCTTTCGTGTACCACTCACCATCCCTAGGTTAATTTGAAATGGGTTGCTTTTTCATCGTGAATTCGTCCTTTAAAGAGGAGTAAATGCTATAGCTATTTTCTCAGGAATTCAGACACCCTGTGTTTTAATGTGTTTTTCAGAAAGGGCGGGGGTTCGGTGGACTTTAGCTGAACTTTTTGCCAAGGGAAAGCGATTATGAAGCACCAATGGAGAAAAGGAACTTAGAATGGACTGATAATTGTTACCACTCCGATAGATGATGGATTTCGGGAAAAAAGCACAATTCACATCTTCTAGCTTGAGAACAACGAATTTCTTTCCACTTTTAACTTTTTTCATCCAAACATTCTTTGCGATCCTTTGCAGGGAGTGTGAAGGAAATAAATCTTTGCCTCATAAACCATAGCATGCGATTGCAAGGTCATCACTGACTTCATCCAAGTCTTCGCAACCATCATCTAAGTTATTTGCCCTCGCTGGCCGGATCGCTAGAAGGACAGACAACCACCGTGGGGCGGCGAAGAAGAAAAAAGGAAACGAATCCTAGGAGAAAGGCTTGCTCACCTTTGGAATGCGGCTCTGCTGAGGCAATGATAGACTGAGCGCGGAGGGGTCAGTATGAGGCGAGAAAGCGTCACACATTAGAGGGCGCCAGATAACAGCTTGGTGCGGAAGGGGAACGCTGCAGCTGTTGCAGCAAACTTTGCAAGGTCTTTGCACCCTAAACGACGGTAGCCAGTAATTGACCGCCCTTTAGGTACCTACCCATCAAAATGAACGGAATCGTTCACACTTGTGGTTGAAGGCAAACCCCGGGATTAGCCCGTCTAGGAGGAGGGACATACCACGAGGGAAATTGTAGGGTCCGTACGTAAGTGGATCACTCCGGCTTTGTCGCAAAAACTGCGCGGTTAGGGCGCTAATCCTTACGGGCCCGCAACCATTGACTCCCGTTCCAACACTTCCCACCCGACGCGAGCGGTGGTGAGATCAGCGTGCATTGATGAGAGATCAGCGTGCTCTATGCGCAAACCAAGAGCCCATTCAAATGTTTCCACGAGATTGAATAGAGTTCGCATGCGTGGCGCAACTCCAAGGAATCAACAAATGCCATCTATTCTATGTACTTTCTTTGTTTGAATGCTTATGAACTTCCCCTAACGACATATTGCTATTTCCGCAGGAGTGTGGCCATGTGATACATAAGTCTTTCCGCCGCACGCGCCGTGCCACTGTGCCCTCTGACTACGATGTCGTCGATCCATACGAAGCGGATCGTCGTGAGGCGATGAAACAACTCTATCCGGACGACGCTGCGTCATCGGAATCGTCACCCAACATCAGCACCAGAACCCGCCAGACCCGTTCCAAATTTCGTCAAGATTCCCAAATCAGATGGCCGTGAATTTCGTCGAATGCTTGCCGCTCAGCCAATTCGTGAGTTCCCTCGACTTTGTCGGCTTTCCAGTTGAATATATTCAGACTAAAGTTGGTATATTGAAAGTGTGATCCTGTTGAGCGTATGGTCACCGTTTCTGAGAACGTTGCGCATTTTAGAAGCGCTTTGCTTTTGTGAAGAACGGAGCTGTCAATGGAAAAGCACGGGTTTCTCCAAGATTCCATCCGGTAGAGACTCGGCCCATTAAATTGCTATCGAGGCGCTAAATCAAGCAAAGAACTGTTTTGGATTCCGCAGAAGCGCAGGATCATGTAAGCAAGAGGAACTCAAGCTATATGGCTGGAAATCCCACTTTTTATCGCTAACCCATATCGTTGCCTTTTCAGTGAACCGCAATCTAAGCGGACGGCACAGCACTGAAAGCTTCCGAATCACGCCTCAAAAATGGAAATAGGACGCCTGACCAGACTTGGGGAGTGCAACCTTCCCTTGGGGAATAAGGGACTTCATAACTAGGAATAAACAGCCTCCTTACTATACTTTCAAAATGGTAGACAAACTAAACAACAAACAACTTAAGTTTTATTAAGTTCGAAGGGCGCTCTGTACAGGTGAACCCCGTGCGTTCCGCGTTTCTCAGCGAGGGGGTCGTATTTGGAGTAGGTAAAGGTGGTCTCAGAATCAAATTCGATAGAAGCAGCTATGATGGTGAGAGTAGTGGTCGGGGATCAAGAGAAGTGGGTCGTATTTGGAGACTCCTCTTAGTGGTGGGATCATAACGGGACCCTTCTGAAGGAGGGATCGTGAAATTTTCGAAATCTGCCATTCATCAGGTGACCAAGAGCCAGGGTTGACTCCGTCAACAGCGCCAAAACTATCATTTCGTTAAAATTTCATGGCTTGCATTATTCGGTACCAGAATGGGATATATCGCGCCGTTGTAGCTCATAATACGGCGAGGTTCTGCCAGCGAAGATACTCAGCTCAGGATTGGCTATTTATTTCTAGTGGAAGAAGTGGATTCATCCTGGTTTTTGAGCTGTCGTAAAAAATGCTTGAAGCACAAAGTAGTGCTTCTGATAAAGCTTCCTACCTTAATTGCTCCACTGTATACTATTTTTCGTTGCAGGAAGACTCGTTCCGAGGCAACTTCAGCCTACAATTTTGATCCTGGGGTCACAACAATCTCGCCCATCGCACATAATTTTTGCCCCTTTCCACCCAAGCAGAAAGAGGTATGCGTAAGGCCGATGTCAGACTTTGCGAATCGCGCGATTCGCTAGCGTCTGCGGTCGCGTCGCGGCCAGTGAATCACTCAATTGGCTGGTACCGCAACGCGACCGCGGACGCTAGCGAATCGCGCGATTCGCAAAGTCTGACATCGCCAAGATGGACGTCAAAGCGGCGATGAAAGGAAGTGTAAATCAAGGCAAAAAAGTAAAGACGCGTCTCTAGCAACGGTGCACCGTTCCCTCATTTTTGCTCCAAATCGATTAATTGAATTCTAAGAATGTTATGGTTCGGATACTTCTGTAGTCGCAACCAAGATTGTAGTATATCACCTCATTGGCTCATGAATCGGCCTTCAGAAGGACTCGAGCCAGTACAATAATGTCAATATTAGTAAAAAGTCGAACATGGAAGCCCCTGACAATGATTATTTTCATGATTTCAGAATCGCAACAGGAACCAATCGAACTCGATCGAGCACTGAAGGAACTTTTGGGTGAAAAACCTACGACGCCAGGTGAGCCAGACGCAAATTCTGAAAAGTTTGTAGAATGAAATTATTGTGTCCGAAAACGATTGTTTCCAGAATCAGCATTGGCTCATCGATTGTCTTCTGAGCAGTTACAATTTCAGCAAGAAGAACTTGACGCGGCGTGAGTCCAATAATGTTATAATCTTTCCGGAGATTATATCTACGCTAAAAACCGCTAAGTTGCTACGTGATAGAGTGGGGAGGTGTGATAAAACGCGCGCGAGTCGCTGATCCGGTATCTGCCACTTACCAGATCATATCGCCGGATTCTCTTAACGCCGGTCTCCGCTATTAAGCTAAGCGCTATTAGATTGTAGAAGAGTTCTCGCCGTGTGAGAGCTCAAATGTTTTAACGCATTAGTTCTGGTTGATTTTTTGGCTAACCTCTACACTGATATCACTGAGCCTTTTTCGCTCTATTCACATGTGCTGCCAGCTTTCTTCAAGAACGGCTACTTCCACCCGAAACCTTCAGTACGAAATCGCTCAACGACACCAAATCCGCACGGTTTTCTTCTTCTGACTCAAAGTAGGACAAGAAGGAGCGGAATCAGCTCATGATATGGACTATTAGTTCGATCACGTATTCAAGAAAAAAGCCTGTACCGCGATGATTCGGAAAGCTCGTGTAGAGATGGCGAGAACCTCGAAGGTGAAAAGGTGGTCGGTAAAGGCGTTTGACACAAGATTAAAGCTACATCTTGCCGCAGTACCAGTTTGCGCTTGCTTAAGTTTTTTTGCTAGAAGTTAAAGGCATGCCCCAGGATCGCACTGGTGTGGCTCTTGCACACGAATGTGAATGTATCGGTGCCAAGTGGGCCGGCAGTGAAGAAAAAAGGAAAAGAATCCGTCGAAAACGCTCAGGTTGAGGGCTCACTCACCTTCCTAATTGGCTGTGCTAAAGGAACGAGAGACTAAGCGCGAAGAGGAGAGTATGGGGCGAGAGAGCGCATCAGATGAGAGAGCACCAGACAACGGCCTGATAAGAGAGCTCGTTCGCTGCAGCTCGAGCAGCTTACTTTGCAAGCCCAAAGCGTTCTTGTCGGTCGAATTCCGTGCACGTGAACGCCACATTTGTGATTGTCCCCTAGGGTTCTATACTTCTGACCGAAGAGAAGAGTTCACACGACCTCTGCCTGGGTTGTGCCTTTAAGAAGGCCGCTCTTTGAATAAGGCGTTTTTGTTTTGCGGTTCCTGGTCGCACAGAGTAGGTTGAAAAGCCCGGAAAAGTCGATAAGGGATGCAGCAAAATCGTGATACCGAAGAGGCTTCTGCCATTCTTCTACTTTTTTCCATCCGATGAAACGCGCTAGTTTTTTGTCTGTTGGGACCAGCAATGTAGTATGGATTCCTCGCAACAACATATGAACCTCGGCCGAGTAGTTCAGTTACCACTAGGGTCAATAAAACTTCGCAAATGTGGTGAAGGTTGTGCTGCCTTTCAAGGGGTCTGTAGGAGGCGCAGCTCTCCCTGCCCAGGCGGAGCTATTATAGTGGAACATTGCTCTCTGCAAGGTGTCAAAATAGCCCGGAATCTTGACACATGCATTCAACAGGGGTGGCCATGAAATGGGCCCCTCTTTCTACGCCATGCTGTCGGTGACCGCAGAACCGACCCAGCAAAAAAGAACTAGCTGGGTTGCTTGAGTATGCACAAGCGTCTTACTCACGAGACTTCTCACCTGTTCACTGCCACTTTTTCGACCGTCCAGATAGGCCTCTGGGAGAGAAAGCTACGGAACCTAAAATGATGGCTGAACGATGTTCGCCCAGTTCTTCGCCTCTAGAGCTCCAAGTACTTTAACCCTTTGACGACCGTGTGGCCCGCCGGTGGGCCACACTTCCACTCGGAGGCGACTCGTTTTTCGTTGTTTATTTGCCATTTTTTCATGCCTCAAAACTGCCCATATACACTAATGGATCCGCGAAATACTGCTCATTACTAATAATGAAATTGTTGGAGAATTTTATGACTACTGAAGAAAAAATTTAAAAAGAAATGAAGTGAAGCAGGCACAACGGCGGTCGTCAAAGGGTTAATGTGAACAGAACTGCCAAACTTACTACTTGTTACAAAGGAGGAGCAGATCGTAATGCTTTTTGCCACGAACGAAAGTGTTATGTATAAATAAAGAGAATTTTCCTTTCAACCTAATACCCAGTCTTAGTCATGCAGATAGGTAAAAAAAAAAGCAGCTACTGTTGCTTGAAAGTGCCCCACGAGGAGCTCTGGGGCCTTCTTGTTTTGTTGCCCCTGGTGCGCAACGTAGCGGTCTATACGGCAAGATGTCTGCGTCCTCTTTCCCCATGTACTCCCTCGTCATTCTCTCCTTGTTGGTCAGTGTATTTTTTGTCACAGCACACCGCGCCACGCCCATCCTTTCAGCTTTCCGTGGTTTCGTGGCCCCTTTCTCTCATCTATTATCGTAGCGGTCCACGTGCTTCTCTAGAGCAAAATTGCCCACCTCATGGTTAGGATCGTGAACTGTGCATCTAACCAATCACCATTTGTGGACCGCATTACTCAAAGTGAGGACGATGGATACAAGATGGTGCGGTTTTGATGGCGATTGGACGTCATTACTGTACTAGACCCCTGAACACGTTGGGAATATGGTTGGGACTACCTATCAACGCCGCTCCACTAGAAATGCTCGTGATCATCTTTTTAATCCCACGATGAGGTCGAAGGTGAAGAAGGAGAACCTACCTAGTGGAAGGACAGGTGATTCAAACATTTAAGGGTGAGAAATGTGAAAGAACTAGACAATATCGAACCTTTGGGCGCGCCATGCACTAGACTCCCACTAATCCGCGAGGACATTTGAATGGTGTAGTCTGAGTGAGACATGAGGCAGTGTTATTGCTTGAATCACTCCTTCCTTGATTAATTTACTACTATATATCAGCTGTCACTGCCAAATAGAAGGTGTTTTGAGAGAGTTATTTGTATTTGTCCTAAAAAAAAACTGTTCAACAAAGCGTAGCGTTCCTGCCATAAGAGCCCAGTTGACCCGGAGTGACAAAGTATCGCAAGTCATCACAATTACATCTACTAGATTCAGGCTGAATTCACTGCAAATACGCAGCGAGGGACGTATTGGTGGCGCGCGCGGTCGCCAGCCGTCAAGGGAAGTCGTGAAGAAGTCAAAGGAAGTCTTGATACCTATCAATAAAGAGGTATGCCAAACTATGTATAATGATCTTTTCCTTGCCAAATTTAGTTTAATTTCTTTTTTTAAAACGATAAGAGAAAAGTAAAGCAGTAAAAGAAAAGAGATAAGAACATTCCCATATAAAATAAACAAGGTGCGCTTTTCGAAGTTTGTTACTCCCAGTAGATTTTTTAGTCGATTTTTTTATCAGATGTTTTCCTTCTTTAGTTGTTGGTTTTTATAGATATTTTTTCAAATATTTTAAAGTTTTCCCTGTAAGCTTTTGGCGCCTTCAGTGTCTTTGAGAATTAAAATTGGCGTCAGTTATCTTTATCTTTATCTTTATCAGTTGCCAGAGAAGTAGAAATAAAATGTAGTAATGTGACGTATTAAAAACAATCAACTGACATATAAATTAAGTTAGAAAGCGGGAAAAAGGGAGAAATAAGAAAAATTGGAAGCAACAAAAACAACTTAATCAAGGGCCCCGAAATGACGATTGAGGCACACTTCCTTCTGTTATATCATATTGCCCATCAGTAATAAGGGCTCTTTGAAGAAGTAGTATGGGAAAAAGGTTACTGAACAAAAACATGTGCACACTACTGTTCGTATGAATGTTGACAAGTGAACGACAAGTGGATGGTGCTAGGGATAACACCACTCGACACGGGCACAGGGGCACGCATGCCGAACCTGGGACCAGATTTTCGGATGTTAGGTATTCCCTACCCCTAACAATCCGGCCCCAGGCCCACTATTAAGTAGGCAGTAGTGTAGCACACGTGCGGTTCAGTAAGATGGGGTTGAGCAATCTATCTGACAGCAAAGAGCTATCATGCAGGAATCGGGACCAAACGTCAACTTGGAGAAGGAAGGGTCCTCAACAGGAGTAACAGTAGTAACCAGAAACGCCAGAAAATTATACAATAGATTATTTTGATGACAGGGCACAAGCAGATATATGTAAAGTTTCGCTGCGAAGCACATAAGACTGCCAGTCGATGAAGCGACAGATTGGAGCGAGTCCAATAGAAACAGCCTATTCCCCCATTGCGCTTCAGATATCCAGTCGATATTTGAACACATTCGCTATAGCTTTCTTAAACGCAGAAGCATTCCTGAATTTGAAGAAGTCTTCACTTAAGTCATTCCAAGGAAGAACAACTCGACAAGAGAACGAACCTTTATATGACGCTGTAACAGAGCTGTCGAGGCAGAGCCTATAGGGATGGCCTCTCGTGACACCATTGAACGGAGAGACACGAAATATGTCAGAGAGTTTCAAATCTACTTCACCCGATATTATTGTCTTTTGTATCAGTATCAAAATTTTGTTTTGCCTCGAAATTGAGTCCCAATTACCGGAAATCAAGACGAAAACCTTTCAGAGTGCTAGAAATTCAACAGAATTCGAACCCATCGAAAATATTACAGTCGGACAACAGGTTAGAAAGTAAACTCAATTGATCTATTTTTTGGGTGTTTGCCTCTCTTGGTGGAGGGTCCGCTTCTCTGGCATATTGATGTCAGTTTCTCATTGAATTCCTGATTGGATGGAAGTCAATCGTGTTTAAAGGAATCTTCCGCGGAAAAAGCTCCGCCTCCATTACCACAGAAAAACGATACCCCTTAGGCCCCTAGCCTCATGAGCATAGCAAAAAGAACGGAACATAAGCCCTAGCCTCATGAGCATAGCAAAAAGAACGGAACATAAGCGTTAGTTTCGATAATACTAATCCTACACACAAGACAAAATGATCACTCTTTCCGTGGAAGATTCCTTTAAGGTATCGTTTTCTGTGGTAATGAGGGCGGAGCTTTTTCCGTGGAAGATTCCTTTAAGTCCGCATGTATCGTGTTATTGGCAAGCTACCATTGCTATGGTAATTGTTAATGGCGAGCTACCAAACGGGGTTCACGCATGTTGTTTCATGGGGCTTGGAATGGCTCTCACCTGAGTGGCCAGTTCCACAAGGTCTGTCGGTATACTCGCGTCTCGAAGCTTTGGCAAGTTCCTATAACCCCTACAGTGGATCCAAGGGCACCATTGTACAGTAATTTCGTGGATAAAAAATCAAACCTTCTAGAAATCTGTTTTTTCATGTCTCTGAAGAAGTGCGACCACTTTTATCCAAAGAGTCCCGTTCCTAAAGTCACAACTGACAACGTAATATGGAGTTCCGCCCTCCTTGCAGACTCCGCTCACGACATACCTTGAATACCTTGATGTCCGCTCTTCAAGGGTGACTGCGCCATCCTTGCAGGGCGCATCTATGCCATTCATTCGATTTCTTGCCATTTGTTGCCATCTCTGTCTAAATAGTTTCTTAAGGGTCGCTCACGACATGGGAAAACTGAAATACGGTCTCATCCAGTAAGGGGGGCATGTGGTGTGACAGTTCTTGCCGGCTACAGAAATTCCAATTTTTGCAAGGGAGGGAACCCCGGGGTGCGTGAACCATTTCGCTTAACTTTTACACCCACCCCGGAGCTTCCCTCCCCTGAAAAAAGTGGATTACTTCATGCAATATGAACTGTCGCACCACATGCCCCCCCCCCCCTTACTGGAGACCCCTAGAATACTCTACATTCGAGTTTGAACAAACAGAAACTGAATTTTTGTAATTATTAAAATACCCTCATTGCTATTTAAGCCACAAACGGCGTCCACTTTCAAGAACTTTCAGAGGTTGTACATATCGCATTCCTTCAAAAATCTGATTCACAAAAAAATTTCAGAGTTGAAAATGGGATGTGATCTTTCAAGGCACTGACCATCGCAAAACTTTTCACTCCGCCGGTAATCGATCTGGTGATTATTTCAACTTGAAGCTAGCCCCCGCTATGAATTTAAAGCTTTCTATTCCTCATGCCCTAAAATGCATACCCTGAAATCATTGAGTTTTCTAGCTATACGAATCCCTATCACATTTTGTTTGTCAACCCTTGCTAGCCGTTTCAAGACGGATGTTTTGTGCCTTTCCAAGGATCCGAGAGAGAATCGAACACTCCTTTCAAGGGGTCGATTCTGCTGGGAAGTTCTGTTCATCGTTGAACTTCGAGCAAAAAAAACTCACATCTTCGAAGGCACTGTGTAAAAGCTTGCCCGGTCAACGTAATCTGTAACCGCGCGGATTACACATGGTGAAAGAAAAAACATGGTCAGTGTACACACGCAGAGTTCAAATAACACCCTGTTGGAACCAGTTTTTTCATTGCTTTGGGTGGTAATCTGATTGGCCAATGTCAAGATCCCTTTGGTGACTCTAATCGAACAGATTCTGTTAAACACGGAACAATAAGATTTGCCCAACAACTTATGAGTTACAACATCACTGACCGAACAGATTAGGGCTGAGTTATTTAAAGGCACGCTCCACGATTAGGCGCGCTTGCCTCTTCCATCCCGGGGGTAGTAGGCAGGCGGACAAGTGTTGTTGTCGCACCCCTTTTGCCGCTTGAAAGTGCGCGACAAAGGCACAAGCAGCTCGTCCGACCTGCAACTCACACCTTTGTCCGCAAGCCCCACCCTCCGCTGTCCGTTGCCACGTGGCGCTGCTTGAAAAGCGCGGGCGCATTTGAGGCAGCGGTCCCACCGCGATCCTGTGTCAATGGCACTGGAGCAACTAGAGTCAGGCTCGCGAAACTCGTCCAACGCGCCTTTTCTCTATCCCAAGGTGGAATGTTGCTGAAAAGGGGAGGTTTCTGCTGTACGTGCTTTCTTTACTCTTTTATAGACCATCTCCCACCTCTAGTATCATGACTGAACGCTTCTAGACAGCCTGTTTTATCCCGAATCTTGCCTTTAAACATGGTGTTATGTACGATCACATCCTGCCATCTGTTGGCGATGTCATGCTCACGACGCGCATCTTGCGGGGGTGTCTCACATTGTACAAACGAACTGTGATACAAAATAGGATTACTTACATTTCTTACATTTACGGCTCTAATAAACACGTCCGTGCTCACACTCTGCACTCTTTCTACTTCACCACAAGTTTCAAGCGAACCACCTGGAGCCATTGAAAGCCATGAAAAGAAACCAATATAACCGCTAGTTTCCGGCCATCCACACACTACAAATGTAGCTGTTAACTGGCGGCTTGCTTCCCAATGCCCATGATCTAAAGGATTGTCCTGATATTCTGCTGTCAAAACGATCCATGCTCCTTGAGATTCGCCCAATGGCGTCAGTTTTTCCTGGAGGCATCATAAGACTGAAAAGCTCCCACAGTAGCCTTGAAAAGTCTGACCATCCAGCAAACACATGGCGGCCTTAAATAGGCGGTTGAAGAAAAACCGTGAAAAACGGTCCAGATTTCCAAGAAGGAAACTTTCTTGCCTCGCTGATTTTCCTCATTGATGATTCTCATCAGTGCTGTCCTCTTCAATGCTGGCAACCCTCTCTGCTAAACGTCTAGAGACTTGCAGCGAGGCCAGTCGGTGGGTGTGCCGCGTCAATAGCGCGCGGGACCATGCTAGATCACTTGAGCATACTCCTCGCTAAGAAAACGCATCGTCCCAACTTTGGGTCCGCTTGTCTCCACAGGTAAGTTATTCCGACCTTCGCCTTCAATCGAAATCCTCCTTAAGCCATTGTATAGACTTTGTACGTATTACAATCGCTTCTCTGCTTCTTGTGAATGAAGCCGTGAGCGTAGCGTAATCCAGGAAAATATCAGATTTTCAGCTTAAGTAGTGTGTAAGAGGGTTTAATATCTACCGTCATTAGTGAACAGAACTTCCCAGAAGATCCTGTATTTATAATAGTACTAATACGCGATTTAACACACAAACACAATGTCGCACTCTCATTCCTTTTTCAGTTCACTCCGCATGTGTTCCTCTTCCCCTGCCCATAATAGTCCCCAGCTAATGCTAGTCAACCCGTAAAAATTTTCATATATTTTAAAATCATGTAACATGTTTTCAGAAAGAAGGAAGGCAATGAGACTCTCACAAGCGTTAGCCAGGATATCACGGATCCTGACTTCTTCCTCGAAGATTCTGTAAGTACAATAAACCTGTTCAGATGCGTAAACAATAGTGAAGGTTCTTATCATACCAGTGTGTTCTGGGAAAACTGAAGAGTATAGGAATTCGTAACATGAATGGAATATAGGAATGGAAGAATTCATGAAAAAAAATAAGATACATGTTGATTGTCTTACCGATGAGAAAATGTTCGTCTTTTCCATTTTTGCAGATTTTTTTTCTTTGAAACGCTGAGTATAAACACCTAAGTGTAGAATTTTCAGAGCGAAGAACCCATCCGAATAGATCTCAACCAAGAAGCGCCACCACCCCCAACCACACCTATGACTTTTGGTGAGGCCCGTCTCCATTTGTTGCCCTTCCCGTTATTTATCTTACTATTTTATTTTTTGTTTTTTTTTACTTGTTCAACTCTTTATTTAATTTTGGATATGTTTGAATGCGGTTCTGAAACTCTGTACAAGTATACGTAAAGAATAGTATACGCTTGGGAGTAGCCCCTAGTGATTTCCCCTATGGCTCTGGAATGGCCTAGTTCAAATTGTCCGTAGCCAAATATCGAGCCAACCATACTAATCAAGCGTTATGCCGGAAAGACAGTAAAATGTGTAGGTACGCAGATCATTTCGATTAAATCTAAAAATGACGCATCGTTAACCTTGAAAGTCTCTACTTCTGCATTAATATGCACTTAATCGCAATTTAAACGAAAGTCATATGTGCGGCGCATTCTGAGAACAATGAATTCCATCTTTCCTTTATTTGCGTTTTATAAGGCACGAAATTCACGAATGCAAAAAGCAATCTCCATTTCAAAATTAACCTAGGATGGTTAAGGGTATTGCGAAAGAAGGAAGAACCATGAGAAAACGGCCCGAGAAATGGTACCCCTTCCTTGCCCGTTGATTCGAGCATTGATGCGACTCTCATCGCTGTGCCCTCTTCAACACTACGCTCTCTCAGCTATCTAATCACTCGCCACGTATTGAACTACGGCGAGTGATCAGATGATCGGTGGGCGGAGATCGCCGGACCCGCCAGCTTTGAGGCATGATAGGTCGCCGAGGTCAAATTTTTCCATGCGAATTGCGCGTCAGTTCGCACCCTCAGGAGGTCCGTGGGTCCCTCAACTAGGTCAGTTTCCCTTTCTTCGACCTTCATTCTAATCGTGAATTCCTCCTTTAAGTGTGTTACGTCAAACCAGCTGAAAAATATGATGAACGGGAAGAATTAAGCGTTGTTCCCATAAGGCGTGAGAGAAAGTGGTGTAGTGGCGGCGCGACCCTGCTTACCATGACGATATGGAATCTTGGACTGTACGCGGCCCAGACCACCAAAAGCTTTCCTCGGGGTCGGTGAAATTTGGTTTAAGACCTTGTCTAAGGCAAGAACTAAAAACCCTGACTTGTGTACCATCTGGCTACCGGAGTCATTGTATAGGCCACACCCATTGGAATGCTGCCATCCTTCTGTATAGGAGCAGTAACCTTTCTACCAGATCGGAGGGTGGCGTGAAAAAGATATCAGATCCAGCTGCTCACTTTTATCGCTTCAGATGTGCTTAAAGTTGCTCGTGATGCTTCGGAAGTACTCTATAAACTACATCCCCCCTTCCCGCTGTTTGCCTCTAGAGCGAACGAATGACCACTGTCAGGCCGGTGTCAGGCTTGGCGAATCCGCGGTTTCGCTAGCCGAATTGGAGCTACGAGCTGTGCGCCAGCGACCGACATTTCTTGTAAGTTCGGCTTGAGTCCCTATCGTTCGCTCTTCTTACTTCCAGCACTTTCCGCCTCGCTCACACGGGCTAGGGAGCGCGAGATAACAGAGGCTATAATTCATCAATCGCGATAGATCGTCCGAACTGGTAGATCGAATCGCTGGTACATTCTTTCAAATCGCTATGCACAGTTCGAAGCGCAGATGTATCGGTCGATCCGCTGGCGCATGTTACGAACTGCTGGTACGTTGCTCATACCCCGCGAATCGCTATCGAATTCACGGATTTGCGAAGTCTGACACTGGCCTCAATGTGCAGTACAATGATTATCTTCTTTTGATTCACCAGTCTACAAGGAAGTAAGCGAGCCCCAAGATATGGAAGGCTCAATCGTCACTAGTGGCCCTTAGCTCATAGTTTTGAGTGGTGCTTCTTGCTGTTGCACTATCCCTCTAAACACATTTGGATGATTTCTGAGTTAAGGATTCCGACATTTTCGATACATGGTTGCTTCATTGAACAACACTTGACTATTCAGAGCCAGAGATCATCAAGGAACTCCTGGAAGATGAAGATCACTTTGACCGATTTGGCACTCGTCCAGAAGTTGTTCAGCCAAAGGTATGTGAATATCATCAAATGCGTGAAGTAGAGAGAACAAACTTGGGGTGAAAAGCTAAGGAAAACATTCAAGTTCAACCAGCTCTGTAGTTGGAGCTGTCTAGAAATGAAGTGCTTCCTCTTTATGCAGTCCCTGCACGGTATGGTATATGTCAAGTAGTGGTTCGATTACAGTAGATTCCAGCTGGAAGTGAAATGTGCGGCGCATTCTGAAGCGGTCTAGATCGAATGTGAACGACTTACCGTTTTTTACAGCAGGGTCACTTCTCATCCATCATGTTATTTCTCTATGGAAATAGAACTTGACAACACTGCTGACAAGAACGCTGGCTTATGAACCAGACTTTCGTCCCAGGCACGGCTAAAACCCGTACTTCTCGCCTACCGGTCAAGTGCGCTATACCGTGACACGTTCCGGTATTTTTACCATAGCTTATCAGCACTCACAGCAGCTAAAGGGTTTTGCCTCGCGGTCCACTGCCGATGTTGGTTAGCTCTCTATTTGGAGCTGTTGTCATAGCTCATCGCTTACCATGGCAACCCTATGTTGCTACAAGTAGCAACGGGGGGGTCGTATTTTGGTGAGTTTGTAGAGGTTATTGACTGTAGCGACGTGGAGAAAATTTGCTCCAACGCGGTATATATCTCCACGCCGACCCGTAATTTTTGGGGTCAAATGGTGTTTGAAAGAGAGGGTCGAACAAACTATTTTGAACAGTAGCAACGATACTGGATAACTTCGTATAATGATCCCTAAGCTATAAATATTAGGTCGGTCCATAATTTTTGAGAACCTTTGGTGTTTTTCGATTTAATTACTTATCTTATTTCTCTGATGTATTTATTCAGCACAGTATACATCACCATTATTACCAACATATAACCAATGCGAGGGTGGGTATTCAGTGTCCCTCTTGTAGAATTTCATAGAGTTCTGATCGAAGAAATATTGGATGTCGATTTTGACTTTATGGTGATTCAAGTGAGATTTCTTCTCCAGAAGGTGATTGAGAGAGGAGAGCGGATAGTCGTTCGTTGACGCAGGATTAGTGCTATAAGGCGGAGCTAAAAGAACTGACCGCCCGAGAGTCTCCAATTTTTTAGGAATTTTCTTAGCAAGGCGGGCTCGAACGACCTCAGAAAAAATAGATTTTGTCTTCCTTTGCTTTCAAGTTGAAGGCGTTGCCATCAAGCTGTCAACGATTCTTCCCATCACTGACACTGGTATTAGTTGATGCCGGTCTTCAGCGCAAAGGCCCTCCCGTATTGCGCCAACGACTCAGGAAGTTCGAATTCAGAGGGAGTTGGGTTTGTACTGTCAGAACTCCCGAATCGTTTGAGCAAATCTACTGCGGCTCGTGGATTTGTTAGCACACTGCACCCAGTCCACATCACCAATGAGTATTATAGATGGTCATCCGAAGGAACTATGGGAAACCAACAGGAACTTGATGATGTCAGATTGGGTTGAGAACTGATTCGGGACTACAATTTTCCTTCGATCAGAACTCTATGAAAGTCCACAAGAGAGGCACTGAATACCCACCCTCGCATTGGCGATATGTTGTTAATAATAATGATGTATACTATGCTGGATAAGTAGATCAGAGAAATAAGATAAGTAATAAATCGAAAAACACCAAAGGTTCTCAAAAATTGTGGACCGACCTAATACATAGAAAAAAGTGAATCAACTTGCGAAACGGTCCCGGGGAAGTAATTGTACGCGCACTAACCTGGTAAGCGGCGAGTAGCGTGTAAGTTCGAGTCCTGATGACTGGCGAAGTTTTGTTCATAACCCAGTACTTTGTAAAACATTGCAACACAAACTTTGGCGGGTTAAAACAGCAGTCAGAAAACTGCTGACAAAACAATAACGAAAATAAGTATGAAAAAGATTTTACAAGGAGATTCAACAATTTCAGCTAAGCAATACCATTGACGATGATCCTGAACCCGACGTTGTGACGCCTGTCCAGCCGAACCGACAGTCACTATCAGTTCCAACGACGACCTTCCACCAACCATAACTAACATACGCACTACGTCTACGCACTGTTTCCCACACGATCAGTGCTGCTCTCTCCAACCTCGACGGCCAAATCGTATCAAACAAACCCTCAACCTAGATAACTTCGTCTATCGCAGGTAAGGACTATAAGTTTCTCGCTTCTTAGGCCGATGTCAGACTTTGCGAATCGCGCGATTCGCTAGCGTCTGCGGTCGCGTCGCGGCCAGTGAATCACTCAATTGGCTGGTACCGCAACGCGACCGCGGACGCTAGCGAATCGCGCGAATCGCTAGTAGCGAATCGCGTAATTCGCTTACGTCGAATTTGATGCCATACGAAGTCTACAAATCGCTCATATGCCCACAGCTAATACACAAACACTTCGTGCATTTTGTAAGCTGATTGCAGGGAAGGAATTTCCTCTTGTCTTTTCCAAGAGCTTCTGTTGGTAGGTATTAGGTAGTTTATCTGCCACTACTGCGAGGACAAATCTGAAGGCCCATGATTTTCCCATTTAAGCCACCCTTTCCGTTCCCAATTCATCACACCGCATCTGCATTCGGTGAAATTTCTGCAGGGCACCTTTCTCAGCTAATATGTGCAGAGTGGGCCAAAATTATGAGGACCAAGACACTAAGTCGTTAAAAACGCACAGTAGCTCGGTGGAACAAGCAAACTTCAGGGAGGTGTTTGTAACTCTCATTCAATAGTAAATGCCAACGAATAGAATGAAGACTGCCACTTGCCGTGATTTACAACAAGCTTTCAAAGATGAAGGGTACCGGTGATAACGCGACTAATGGCGTGTCAAAATGTTTCCAAGCCTTCTGCTCTGCTTTCTTCAGGAGATCGTCGTTTTGTGGGGCATTCATTTGCGCTTGCCTCCAGGAAATCACAGAAATACTATTGATATCAGATGGAAGGTTCCATTGTAACAATTCTTCGACAGCAATGAACCTCGAAAAAATCGCTTTTTTAGAGGATTTTTGCTCTATTCTTGGGTACTCGGTCCTGTAAAAGTCCCCAAATAGAGTACTCAAGTGGCCTTCCTATCTAACTACAGATATGGAGCCTTTAGAGTGTCTGGCTGGGTTTTCACATCAATTTTTTCATTTTGGGTGTACGAAAGTCGACAAGGGGAGACCTAGTTTCTGCATCTGATAATTATCCTGGTGGTAACTGTAACTTTCGAGTCCCGAATTTTCCATCTGTGGTGGTTCCAAACTTATTGAAGAGTTGAACTGTTGCTCATAAGGGCTTCCTGATACGTTAGACTGCCGCTAGATGTAACGTGCCAGAGCCCCTAGTGAGTTCAATTTGAGGACTGACGTAAGGTGATGTAGTTATATCCACTAGTTTTGAGAACTGCATGATATTTCGTTCAATAGGAAGAAGACAATGTACTCTTCCCATATGCAGTGCACAGAAAAGGATATAAAAATGCGAGTCGAATCGATGAACAAATGAATGCTCGCGCGCCGCATCACTTGTCCTCACTAATTTGGCCCATCCCTGATAGTGTGTCTTTGCTCTAGAGTGAAGGTTAAGGTGGAACACTGCCTACAATGATTGGCTGGCTTCTATTCTCGGCAGTGAGGAAAGAGCAAAAGAAACATTGAAACACATCTACAAGTTCAACGATGTCTTCTCGCGAAGTGGGCGGTGCTACCCGAAGTAAAAGATACTTGGGCCAGAGTCAACCGTCCGTTGGACAAAGTCCAACGCGACGACGAGAGTAATGCCGAGAGTGAACGTACGCACGGAGACACAGACGGCTCGCGGGTGGCGAGAGTGAATGCCGGCGCGGAGAGCGGTGAACATCGGTCCAACGTCGCTCCAATATCGGTCCAACGTAACGGTGACCCTGACCCTGGGCGCAAGGGCAGCGTGAACCTGCCAGAAGTGTACACGCTGCCGAGACGATAGACACTCGACTGCCGTGTCGATGTGCTGCGAATAACAGCTGCAACCGGTTTTACCTCAACGGACAGGGAACTCCCTTGTCAAGCACATTTGAAATGCGTGAACTGCATTTTTTTCGTTTTCTTGAGTTTTTGTCACAAAAGTAGCCAATTCATTGAGCCTAATTGTTCAATGCGCTCCAGGACTAACATCCCCCAGGGCCGTAAAGGTCGAATGTTGCGGGGACGAAAGTCCCTTTAAATTTTTGTTTTGAACGATACTGTTTCTTTATTTCAATGCATGCTTACTTTAAGCTACACACATATATTAGATGTAGGCCCTTTATCAGGACAATCCCAGTTGGGACTACAGAGAAAATTTAAAGGAACTTTCGTCCCCTAACCCTTCGGGAAGCATACCTACGGCCCCAGACGTAATTTTGTGGGGTCGCAGTGGTTGATAATGAAGTTGTGGATGCCGAAATGACTTAAAATGCGGAAAGAAGCGAAGAAACTGTCCGCTACTGAAAAGCCCGAAACAAAAATTCTTCTCAAAGTAATGGAGGGGAGGGGCCGGACGAATTGTCCGAATTCACCTGCTCCATGGCTCATGTAACTCGCGCGTATAAATTACGCCACAATCCATGCTGCTCATCAGGCTTGTGCGCATTGTAACTCGTACAACAGGCTAAAGATTAGTCGCAATGCTGATTTGTGAGGCCCTTAGGCCATCTCGCGCATCTTCAAGCCCGACAAAACGGTTATTTTGCTAACTAGTATAGCTACTCTATCCATCACTGAATAGATTCTCCACACTCCTGTGGGGGGTGCTTCTTTTATACTCTAACTTACTTACTTACGCATGGTTTATGCAATTCTTTGTTGCATCACGTAAAACTACTGGGGTTATGAAAGTCACAAAACCGTTGGAAAGCGCCAGGATCACGTCGTACGGAGTGAGCAAAGTCCTCCCAGAAATGTTGAATGAAGAGAAGAAAACCAAAGGTGACATTCATTCCTCTATCTACATATTTCCTCTGGAACTCACAAAGGTTTACTTCAGGTTTCGGCTTTACTGGCTTCGCTGTACGAAAATCGTTCGACACGAGACGATTTATTCACGAAGGAGAGGTTAAGATTACGCCAGAGGTTAACAAGAAAGTATCCCAGGTGCGCGATCAGCTTAGAAAGCGGGCTCGGGAAGCCCTGGGACATTCTTAAACGTATGTTTTCACCGCGTCTTCCTCATCTCTGCCGTCCCAATTCCCCGTTCTGCATCGACCTTTCTATCAGTCCTGCGGCGAAAGAAACCCGCTCAAGCATCTGTATCTGAAAGCTATCGTGTCCTTCTTATCCGTGTGAACTTGCCAAAGAATGTTTAGTAGGGAGGTCTCCCGACCAAGAGTTAACGGACCGTTTGTCAAATTCAAACGACCCAGGGATGTCTTGGCCCGACAGATAAGGGGGATGTATGACAGTGCAAAGTCTTCAGGCGTGAAATCTTCCAGGAGTTAAGTGCGTAAGGATGGTCAGAGATATCACTTCTACATACATACCTGTACCCAGTTGATCCAGAATGCTCGAGCAAGGCCAGCAACTTCTCCATCTGCCCTGTCGCGTGTCTAGAGATTGGCTCCTGTGATGCTTCCTCACCGAGGACCGCAACCATCTAACGCATTTCTCTTGGCTCAATCGCTTTTAGTCGAAGAAGTTCTCGGCAGGCGTCGTAGTGTTCGCATTGACATACCGAGGAATCCAGTTGTAACCCGCTTTGGTCGCAACGGTCACTCCAAGCATCGCCCTCTCGAACAGCTCCCTTGAATCCCACTACTACAGCATCTCGTCTCCTCGCACGTCCAAGTCTCTGAGAATTAGGAAAACGGGAGAGGATTTCGAAATCGAAGGCTTTCGTTCCGAAGCCGGGTGTTCTTCGTCTTCTTCCACTACTCCCTCGATGTTCTTATACGCTCCCCAAGCCGCTCGTTTCCTCCTGCTCAGCTCTGGAGCTAGATCGTTCATCATATTGATTTCCCGACCTAGGTACGTAGCTGGAGCATTCGGTGATGTTCGTTCCGTTGAGCGTGAATGGGGCATCAGGAACCAATCCGTTTCTCATAAACATCGTCTTCGTAGTTCAGCAGCAAGGGATCTGAATTTGTGAAAAAACGTCGCAAGTTGGCGCAGCAAGGGGACTGTGAAATGTAAGACAAATGTGATTGAAGCTCGTAACTTTGAGCTTGGGCTTCTCATCAAACGATCAGAATCAAAAGTGTTTGCTGTAGATGAGAGGTGTAACTTTTGAGGACTTCGTTAATTGTTAACTACAAAGTGTACCTGACGCCATTTCTCCAAGCAAACCCTCGCGATTAGCCCGACTTGTGAAGGAAGGATACGCGAGGGAAATTGTAAGGTCCCTACCTACCTAGATCACTCCAGCTTCGCCGCAAAAGTTGCGCGGTTAGGGCGCTAATCCTTACGGGCCTGCAACCATCGACCCCCGTTGCAACGCTTCCCACCCACCTCGATATCGGCGTGCTCTCTCGAACGGCGTGATCTCTCGCGTGTTTTGTCATCTTTCGTCCCGTATCGTTCCACATCCGACCTTTTGAGGGCTACGGCCTTGATTTCAGCGACCCGAAAGATTTCACTAGTTTTCCTTCACACTTTCAGGCCGTCCTGCAACTCAGTCATCAGCGCTCTTATCACCTGTTTTACCTGGGGGCTTGTCTATAAAGAGCCGAAGTAGTTACGGTAAACCGTTACATATTTGATTATCGGATTCACAGACCTCCCTGTTCCGGGATCCGCTGTTTTCGGATTATTCAGTCGCGTAATGTGTCCTCAAATTGAGAATGAAGTAAAGACCAATAGGGCAGTGGTAAAGGAATGGCATCTTGAGCAAGTGTTATCAGCGCTTTTACCGCCACGAGGATCTTTTATCCCCACCTTGACGAGTTGGAGAGCTTCGCCAAGAAATCCCTGGACAACTTCAAGTTTTAGGAGCTGTCCTCCAGAGCACACGCTACGTGCACTCGACTGGATGCTGCAGAATATCACAAAAGTCACAGGGCAAGGAGACGAACCACTTAGAAAGTACGCAGCGACAAGCACTTCGTAA